TGTCTTTTAAAGCAACAGTGCACGCTGGCAAAAGCTGATGTTCCATTCTTACCCCCATGCCACTGCAGACAACTTGCTTGCTTTTCTAGAGGGTAAAATAAATTTATCAGGATGTCTTGAATCTTCAAAGCAAATGTGACAAAGCCCCAATCATCTCCTGAGAGTGCAGAGTCCATGTGTAGAGCAGACAGCCCCAGGGCCAGTCCCTCCCAAAAACACTGAAACCACAGGAACAGCCCTAAAATAAATGCTTCCCTCTGGCATAATTCCTTAAAACTCTTGTTTTCTGTAATTTGTCAGTGAGTCCTGACAGGGGAAACTGGAGCACAAATTGAACCTTTAGTTCTAGTGAAGTAGGGAATATATGGAAATTACATGAGAATAAGAATTATATTATGAGAGTCTATTATTCATTTTGTGAAATACTATGAAAAAAATCCAGTCCTCAAGCCCTACCCCTCCTTTCACCTGCAGCTTTGGCAATGCACCCAGTTCTTCCCAAGGACTTTATGGGTGCTTTCAAGCCAATGATTTTGTCCCTAGAGTGCCCACCTGCCTTCTTCCAAGAAGCTGCATGCTTGGAGGCCCTGTAGCAGATATATCCCAAAGTTCTTTCCCTTTGTGGTAGGTCTGACTCAGACTGGGGGAAGAAAGAGAGGGTCTCTAATCATGTTGCTACCATTCCAGGTAGGTTTTCTGGCTTGTAGCCATTCTGTCCCAGGATGTGGAGCACTACCTCCTCTGGCTCTTGGGGCTTTACCTTCCCTTGGGCAGGTCACAAGAGATGGAGCTCACCTCTGCCAGGAGATTTGCAAAGGTGAGACAAGCAAGCCATGCCCCATAAGTGATTTATGCTGTCTGATTTCTCTCTGATTTGGGTTCCTTGGGATGGAGCAGTTGTGAGACTCAGCCTGGCTCTCTGGAAAGGCCCAAATGCCCTGCAGCAAGATGGAAGGAGAACTGAAAGTGGGGTGTCATCATCTTTGCAGTTGCTGGCCTGGAGCATTTCTGCCCCCCCAGTGTTGTGCAGCAGGGGCTGGGATTGCTTCTGTTGTGCTTTTGCTTTGTGATGGGTGGGAGGTCAGTGTGCCAGCAGGGATTTGTGAGGGGCCACCTCTGCCTCAAGAAAACTCTGGGAGCTGGCACTAGAGAGCAATGAGCGGGGAGGGAGGGGAGTGCTTTTAGTGGAAAGAGCAAACTGCTCCCAGAGCACAGTGGGCCATGGGAAATCAGAGGCCAGCCCACATGCAGGTCACTAGGAAATTCGGCTTGAATATCACTGAAGTCTCAGAGCTGTGGTCTCTGCTGTGCCTGCCAGAAGCCCTGCTGTCTCCTGCCCTTCCAGGAGCTGTGCCTGGCTGCTGCCAGAGCTGCTCTCTGTGAGGACACCAACAAAACTGCCCAGGGGATTTCTAGCAAAGATGAATAAAGCAGCCTCAGGCAAGGTGTTTGTAAAAATTCTTGCTGGGCTTAAAAGCCTATCTGCACATCCCAGCCCCTGAGAAAATGCTTAGTCACGAGATGGGAGATGAATGGTTAAAAACAACAGAAAGTTATTGAGGGGTCAGTGTTTCCACGTGGAACAGGGAAGTGAGGAATTTTCTCCTCTGTACATTAACAGCCTGTTTTGCCAGTAGATTTATGGCCAGAGATGTCTAGTTACACAGGTCACGGGATGCCAAGTCAGCTCTCGAGTCCCTTGTGGGCAGCGCTGTTCCGTGCTGGGCTCTGGCAGCGGCTCCCAGCGGCTCAGCTCAGGGCACAAACCGGCCCTGGCCAGCTCCGAGGGGATCACGGGCTCTCTCACACCGTGACACAGCAAAACGCAGCTGCCTCGGAATGCTGAGTGCAAACCAGGCAGCTGAATCAGCACTCCGGACCAGGATTTGCTGTGTAATGCTAGGGGGAAAAGGAGTCACAGTAACTGCTTAAAATGACTTGCTGGAGGAAGGAGTCTGTGCTGGAGTGTACAGGGATATCCTGTGTGTTAGTTGGTGTTTACCAAAGGGAGATTACCTCTCCCAGCCCCACCTCGGCAGAACTGACTGTGCTCCCTGCTCTCTCAGCATCTAAAAGTCCCAGTCTAGATCAAAGATACAGGTGGAGAAAAAGCAGGTCGAGAGTCCAGTGCACTGGAAATCCCTATGGAGAGCCCAGGCACTGCAGCTGTCCATGAGGCTGGCACTGCTGGTACCTTTGGAGGGTTGTATAGACAGGCATGGCTGTGCTAGGCAAGCCCGCACACAGGAACCCTGGAAAACAGTGGGATGGGAGATGGAGGCACAGGCAAATTTCCCAGGATTAATGAACCAGCATGACAAAAATGGGACATGCAGATTACAATAAATATTTTGATAGATGTATGGGTATATGTGTACTGCAGCACACTGGTGTCTCCAGCACATAGCTGTGAGCAAGGAGAGAGCCTGGGCTGTCTGGAAACAGAGCAGGGAGAAGGAGGGAGAACAGAGCAAGTGCCCTGCAAGGCATGGGCCTGGCCAAGTGACCTTAAGCAACAGCAGGTGATGGGTACACTGGGCTGGAATTTTGGGAGAGGGTGCATAGAGCCCACCATGCTTCCTAGAGTCTTGGTGGTCATGGGAATCAATCCTGTGTCCAGCTAGGAGCTGCTTTGGCAGCCAAAGGGAGGTGTGGAAGGGAATGGGGCAGAGTTTGCAAATAAAGATCCCATTTGTGCAAATGTTTTGGTCGGTGCTGCTCCCTTCTTTGTTTCAGTGCCACAACCGTGGAAAACAAAGTGTGCCCTGACTGTGAGACAGAACCAACCATGAAACTTTGGATTTGAAAAATCACACATATGCAACAAAGAGGACCTTGTATCACACTGCTCACACCCTTTTCTCAGGAGAAGGAGGAACGGGAAGCCAAGTTTCGCACAGAAAGTGAGACCCAAGTCCCCCCTCCCCGCAAGGTTTCCAAAACACCTCTGCGTGGTTCCCTAGCCCAGAGTCCAGGGAAGCGCTGGGCCGCAGGAAGGGGCTGTTTCTGGAGATTTCTCCAGCGTTCCGGACCCTGGAGCGGGGCCAGGAGCAGCAGCTGCAATCTCAGCGCAGGGAGGCGCCGCCCGGCGCGAACAGCCCGAGTGCAACTTTCCGTGACTCAGCAGAGCCCCTCGCTCAGCTGACTCAGCACCGGCCCGGCCTGACCGTGACTCAGCAGCACGCCCAGCTGGGAAAAGGTGACTCAGCACCGGCGGGAGCCGGGTTTGGGGGCTCATGCCCTGGCGGAACGTGCGGCATCCCTTGCAGCCACCGAGAGTTCCCCTTTCAGCTGTCCTTCCCAGAGCTGCCCCGGGTGAGGCAGGAGGGCTGGAAAAGCTGCTGTTCCAGGCTGGGAAAGCTGGTGTTCCAGGCTGGGAAAGCTGCAGCCCTCTCTGATCTGGGGATGCATAGGATTGCCGTGTCCGTCTGCTGTGGGACCGGGACAGTCTCCACTCCGTACGGGGGAATCAAGGCATGGGAATTCTGTGGTGCCGCATGGACACCCGGCTTTCACCTGTGCTGGTGCAAAACAGCAAACCCAGGAACCATGTATGGGAATGAATCCATTTTAGAGACTGGCATTCGGGATGTGCCAAATTTAAGTGACTCAGGACACAGACAGAGTGTCTGTGGCACAGACTGTGCTCCCTCCTTCACTCATTGTCAAAGGTCACTCCAGGGCAGGCAGGCAGGACCTTATTTACTCCACCGAGCTGCTCTTTGTCTTGGGAGGGTGACAGATACATGCTGAGGAAGAGAAATAAGCCAAAGAAGGGTTAGAAAGGGCGGATATTACTTCAAAGACCTTAGTTTAGGGCAGACTGGGCTCAGCATTGGAGAGCCCTGTGCATTGTGGAGCTTAGAGACTGCAGCTGGTACAGCAAGAGCCAGAACCCCCTTTGGGGGTTCTGAACCTTCCTTTTGGGGGGATGCATTTCCCAGCATCCCAGGCACCGAGGAATCAGGGCTTTGGGCTCAGCCCTTGCCCTGAGCATTGCTGGGCGCAGCAGGACCTCGGGGCGGTGGCGGCAGCTCTTTAGCTAAATAATCATTAACAAGGCGACGTGGGATTTGAATTGAAGTGTTCGATTGCCGGGTGTGGTCTGGCAGAGGCCGAGAGGGACCAAAGGTACTCGGCAAGTGGTGAGACTGAAGGTGCCTGGTGTGGGGTGAGCCACCCCCTGACTGCCCGGCTGCAGCTGGTGGTTCATGGTGTGCATGCCAGCACTAAACGTGTCCCTGCCCAGGGGCAGTGGGGCGCTGCTGGCAGATCACCCACACCTCGACTTTTTAAATTTTCATTTTTTTTTTTCTTCTTATTTGGACTATGACTGCTAAAGTGCTGAGAGAAATTGCCACCTCCTTCTCACTGAGACTGATCTGGCATTTAAGCTTTTTTTTTTTTTTTTGAAAAAATAACTTTTTTTTTTTTTTTTTTTTTTTTTTTTTTTTTTTTCTGGTCAAGCAGCTAAAAATACCAGTGAAGTGCCTCGCAGCAACCTTTCTAAACACAGATTTTCCTACCACTCTGTGCTGGTGAAAGAAACTCCCCATAAGCCACAGGAAAGCCGTGTCCTTGCCTCACCCTGCTGTCAAATGTGCTTCGTGCCTGATCCACGCTTTTCTGCCGAGACTGGCCAGGAGAACAAGCGCCTGGATACAGGCACACACAGCTTTTCTGTGCTGAGAGGGAATTCCTGATCCCCCAAGAAAATCCCTGCTGCAGAGCCCCAGGACTCTCCCTGGCAGGGCTGAGCCCCCAGCCTCTCTGTTGCACAATGTAGCAACCCCTGCAGCCCCATCCAGCCCCTGGCAAGAGCCAATGTCCAGCCTTGCAGGAAGGCTGCTGGAGACAGCCCTGCAGCACACTCGGACTCATGGGGAGCAATCCTGTCAGTGGCCATCTCTCTTCCCTTGCTCCTCAGCACTGCAGCACCTACTTTTCCTCTCATTTGTTTGTATCGTCTTCATTCACCCTTAGCAGCATCAACAGTAATCTAAAGGAAAGCGGAAGTGGCTTTATTCTTATTTTGTGAAGGGAGGGAGATTTTGTTATTCAGAATAAGCTTTGAGGAAGTTTTGACACGGCAAAGCAACGTGAAAGTCCTGTGAAATGGAGAACAGCCTTCCCAGTGAACTGGCTTGGGACACTTCTATGCTGACTTTGTGAGACAATGCTGTGGGAAATCAGGACATATTTTTGTTATCCCCCTTAAAAAAAAAAAAATCATGTACTATTTGGAGGGGTAAAAGAGAAACATGTAATTTTTCGCCTGTATGAATGTGATGCTGGCGTGCCCAATATCATGCTACCCAAACATCATGGAAATTCTCATTAACTTTAGTGTATATTTAGTTTTTAGAGATGTCAAGCAACTCTGACCCAGTACAAGGAAGTTATATCTTTCTTCATCTGGCATAGCAACAGCTGTTCTGGGTCATGCAAAATATCTGTCCAGGTCAGGATCCTGTTCCCAGAGCGGTTATTAATGGATGCCTAGGCAGAGCACAAACACCCCTTCCCATCCTCCGTTCAGTCACAACGTGTGGATGAATCCACGTTCTGCAGTGGTCGCTCTGCGGGGCCGCACAGGGCTGATGGCTGCAGCATAATATTAGACTACGGAAAAACTTTGTTTTGTTTCTGTCGCCGGAGGTGGCAGGGCCTTAAGCAGGTCACTGCCAAGGGAGGGGCTGTTCTCTGTAATCGGGAAGCCCGGGCTGGGTGTGCGAGGGACCACAGCCATCTGGTGGTCAGAGCGAGCAGCGCTGTTCTTTCTAAAACAACATCAGAAAACTTTAAAAGGGAAAGGCATTTAAAAGAATTCCTTAGAGTGCTGTCATTTTTTTTTCTTTTTCGTAATCATGAAGCAGTTTTTGCCAATGAGAAGTGGCCAGCCTCTAATTAAAATGAACCCTTGCAGAACTAGTAGGTTTTTGGGTTTTTTCCCCAAGTTCCTTCTCAAAAGAAACCTTGCAAAATTATTCAAGCTATTACTGGTATAATCTATAACAAGTATGACAGTATAATTTGGAATCTTTCCATGCCTTCATCCTTGAAAAAGAGCTACCTTGTCACTGTTGGATAAATCTCAGTGGAAAGCACTGTGACCATGGCTGGCTGCATGGTCGAGAGGTGACAGGCTCACCCCAGGAGCCACAAGCAGCAGCTCTGAATTTTCACCTGTTGGCCATCGATTCTAACTGACCTCACTTGGCAGACACCAAAAATGCTTTCCATCTGTTTGTCCCTTGACAAAAATAGCAGCAACCCTTTTCTGCTGCACTCAAGTCTTCCTTGGGGACAGCTCCCTCTTGCCTTTGCCAGGTCCTGTGCTGGCTGCTTGGGGAATTAAAAACAAGGTGAGGGTGAAGATGGGGTCTTTGTCCTGACCTGGGCTCAGGGCCTCCCAGAAGCAGTAAGGAGGAGTTGGAACTCCCCATACTCAGGATATTCATTCACTCAGGATGTCTTTGTTTCTCCTTTCAGGGAATTTGCAGGGAGTGCTCTGAGGGAGCTGGAGGCACTGAGAGGCATGAACCAGTGTTAAAGCATCACCAGTGTGAACAGGCTGGTACGGTGCACAAATGCTGACGGGGCACCAGGAGTCCTTCCTTCCCAGCTGAGGCAGGCAGCCCAAGGCCAGGAACTGGCCAAGGGGCTTGGCCTTGCGTGTTCTGGAGGTCCTTCTGGCCCCACACTTACAGAACCAGCCTGTGTTCCATCATGACCCTGCTCTTGCTTCCTCTCCTGCATGTGCTCCAGCAGGGGAAGTTCAGCCCTTTTGCCTTTTTTCAGATGACATTTTCAAATCCACTCAGCTTCCTTTAAAGGATCCCTCCCACAGCTCCCACTCAGCTGGACACTGGAGAGGTGGTATAGGAACAACTGAGGATGACACTGGAGAGGTGGTATAGGGACAACTGAGGATGTCCTGTGGATACCAGAGGGCCTTTTAGTAGCAAATGTATTTCTTGCATGTCTTTATAAGTGACTTATGGGCTGCAAGGTGGGTATTCAGATGTGGTCACAAGACACAGAGGGAAAGGAGAGGAGCTAGCTCACCCTCTTGCTATTTTGAGACAGCCTGTAATCACCTCTCCACAAGACTGTAGTAAAAAGCAGGAAGCACCCTCAGCCCCCATGCTGTTCTCCTCTCAGCACCAGTGCCCTTGCCTTTTCATAGAAAGCAAATGTGGCTGCATGGTTTCATCCCTCTTCTCCCCACAGCAGCCTCCCCTCCCCACAGCAGCACTGACAGTACACACTGTGCATTCAAGGGAGGCTCAAGTCTTTGCTCCTTTAATGTGCAGTAAAAAAAGACAACTCTCCCACGCTCAACAAGAAATCCCACGAGCAGGAGCCCTGAGCTTGGCACCCTCCTCCCTGCCTTTCATTTACAAGGGGGCAGCATGTGCAGTTTGCTCTGAAGGGTTTTTCTCCCCATGTGCAGATGAACTTCTGGCTGCTGCAGGGCTGTTCTACTGACATGAGATGACTGATGTCTCACTTCCCCTCTGTGCTCACTAGCTGAACAAGCTTCTGCAGCAACAGCACATTCCCAGTGGTGTAACAGTGCTGATGGAAGGGCCTCCTGCTTTAGGGGGAGGCAGCTCTGTGACCCTGGCACACACAGCCATCCCAAGGGAGTCTGTAGCATTGGCCTGGCTCAGAGGGACTCCCCACACCACTGCACAACGTGGTGGAAGGCATCAGTGAAAGGGAGAGAGGGAGGTAGAACCGCACTGGGATAAAAGTAGGATAATGGAGAATTAAATTAACTGCAAATAGTTTGCTGAAGGCACATCCTGCCCCGTGGGAGAGAGCCCCTTCAGCCTGGGGTACCGCTTGCAGTCCTGTGTGCTGCCAAGGGCTTGGACAACTGGCTGCTGTGCAATGGAAACAGCTGGGCTGTGGGCAGGATTCTGGATAAACTGATGGGGAAAGGGAGGCGAGGAAGAGGAAGAGAAGGGGTTGTGAGTGGGAAGGTGTTGCATACCACAAGCACTTGTGCAAGAGAGGTTAGAGCAACAGGGTCCCTCTACCATTATTAGTGTTCCTCCTCGGCCACCAGTAATGCTTCACATCCCCGTGCTTTCCAGTCTAACACTGGCAGGAAGAGGGCTGGAGATACATTCTAGGGGAGGGGTGAGGAAAGAGGCAGGCAGGAATGATTTCAGTAGCAGACTGCAGCCTCTCCTGTTTCTTGGGCAAGATCTCTTAACTACCTCACTGGAGAGTAGGATGGGGGAGCTTCTTCTGCTTTGCCCACTCTGTACCATAAAAAGAAAAACCCACTGAACTCCCACATTCTCTAGCAGCTTTGAAACCCCCTTTACAAGTCTACTGTATGATATCCCTAAACACAACAAAGATTATCTGAAGTCTGAAAGCAGCTTAAAAATAAAAACAACTCAAAGGTAAAACAGGAAGAGAATGGAGGAAGGGGACAGAGTCCTTCCTCTGCTGGCCCCTGGCTGGAGGCAAGCAAAACAGCACACACAGCCTCTTGCTCCACAGCACACCAGTCCTTAGCATTCACAAGGCAAACATGGCATCATCTTCCTTTGCTTGCTTTGGATGATGGCTGGCAGCAGGAGGGGAGAGGGACGTCCCTGCTGAGGAGCTGGACAAAGTGGGGAGGCGGTCTGCAACTTTCGCTCGCTCTTCCAGAAATTTGTCAAACTCTGAGGGCAAGAGAAGAGCAGAGCATTAGCAAAGAGGGAGGTTTGTGGAAGAGTCAAGGTGCTGCCAGGAGCAATTAAAGACAAGGGCTGGCTGGCACATCTCACCTTCACTGGTGACACCTTTTGGATCCTCTGATTCTCCCTAGCAGAGAAGGAGAAGGGCATGTTAGAAGGAAGGTAGGTAAAGGCGTCTCACAGATGTGATTCTTTGCACACAGAGAGACAGGACAGTGTTTCCCCCACTTCCACAGTACAGACATGTTGGAGGGGCCCTCAGTTCATTAGCTGTGGCTCCCAGAAGGCTGATGATGCTGTTGTGGTATCTCAAAGCCTGTGTCCCTGGCTTTTCTTTCCCTGGTCCCTCCCAGCAGTCTGTGCCACACATTCAGCAATGACAGTGCTGTTATACACTGCCTGAAGCCCAGCCCCACAGGAAACTCCAGCAGGACTGCTGGCTCCAAGAAGGCAGCCCCTCACTTACCACGTCAGTGGAGAGCCATTTTTCTATGTCTTCCATGAAATTGGCTTGAGGAACTGGTACCTGGGACAGATAGAAAAAGGGCAGTGAGGCCAAGAACATAGAGGATGTTCCAGTAAATCCACTGGAATGGATTTGCAATGCAAAAAGAAAGCCCAACTCAGAAGCTCAGCCTCTCACTCCACTGTTTAGTCAGCTCAGGCCCATCCAAATCCAGCTGGTGCCAGCTATCAGTGCCATTGCTTACCTGCTTCCTCTGTCCCATCCATGCCCAGACACACAGTTTCCAGGATACATGCCATCAAAAGCATCTGTGGTTTGGTGGTTGGCTTTGGGATTTTAGGACTGGACCAGACTTTGCTTTTTGGTGAGGACCCACTAGGTGGAAGTTATCTGCTTGTGTAGGCAACCAGAGAACAAGAGACATGCATTTCTCTACACCTTCTCCCTCTACAAACCAGTGACAGTCTGATGTCAAAGTCAGCAATGCTGGAGATATTGGAGGTGCCAGGTCTGACAGCAATCAAAGGGGGAAAGACACCTGCCAAGAACTGATTCCCTGGTGTGATCATGGAGCACAGCAGGATTTGATGTCACACCAAACTACTGAAAAGGACCCATCAAAGAGGAAGTCATCTACAATTAAATTTTACTTCCAGTAGGGATGAGGCTAGCTCAGAAGAATTCATAGCCCTGGTCAATTTAAACAGCAAAGAGACATATTTCTAGTGGACAGAGGTAACCTTGAAAGAAACAAAGTCTGATTCAAAACCCCAGATCCTTTTCTTCAGTCATGAGCTCGTGAACAAAGCTGAGCAAGAAGCAGTCCTTGCTAGAGGCTCCCCAAGCAGAAGAATGAGAGAGTATTTGTGGGAACTTATTTATTAGTTTTCTAATATATATAGCTCCCTTGCCCTCAGGAAACACCAAGACCAAGAAAAAGAGCAACACCTTCGTACCAAAGACAGATTTCCTCAAACCAGGGAACAAGCACAGATAGTTATCACAGCTGCCAGATGGATGAATGGGAACGGAAGAGGATGTGTGAGATTAGGGAAGTTCCAAAGCAAACTGGCTTTGCCTGCCCAGAGAGGATCTCTTTGGGGTACAAGTGCATTCAAGCCAACTGTACAGCATGTGGGGAAACTTCCTAGAGCAGACATCAGCCTGGGCTGTGCCCATTACAGGAAGACAGGCTAACAAGATTCAGACCCAGGAGCTGTCAAAGCCTCTGTGTGCCTGAGGGAATGTAATTGCAGGAATTTCTGCTGCCGAAAGACCAAATTCAAATGCCTGAAAGCTCAATCATTAGTTACAGGAGGAGGCCTTCAACAGGGTTAAAGTCAGAATGTGTTTTCCTTCAAACAAGGCACCTTGTGTTAAGAAGGAGAGGCTGCAAGGAGAATGAATGGCAGCAGCCACCCTCATGATGCCACCAGCTATTGCCTCTGCCTCAGACACCCACCCCAAAACAGGCCATCCTCTAGCTCAGAGTGGCACATGCTCTCTTGGCCTCAGAGCTCCTAGGATTTTTTCCTACACATATGTTTACTTGAGGAAGGACTGGCACATTGCCTGCTTCCTTCCCAAGCCTAGTCTCCACTACTGGCCCAGCCCAGGGCTGCTCCATTTCAGTTAGCAGTATCTGCTGATGTCTGCTGTGCATCCTCACGTGCTGTGCCAGTGATGCTTCTGCTTCAGCAGCCCCAGCCTCCTCCCTCCCTGCTGGCCCTCTACCACCTCAGATCTCACCATTCCTTGACGCATCATCCACTTTGTCAGCTGGGCTCCATCACTAGAGGCACCAGACTCCCCCTGGATGACAGAGAGTCTGCATTGCAGTGTGAGGGAGAGGGGAGACAGCGGGGTGAAGGTGAGGGAAAGAATTTACTCATACTGGTGGCCTACTTCTCTGATTGCGGAGAGAAGGTGACTGGACATGGAAATCTACTGAAGAGGAATAAAACATACATTTCCAGGTGGAAGTTTCCCTGGGGAGGGACATCCTTCAACTGCCTGAGGCAACCCCAGATTTTCACAGTTCCTCACCTCAGGGCTTTAAAGAATGAGGTGTGCAGCCCAGCTAGGAAATGCAGGTTGGTGGAGACTGGGAGTTATCATCACTTGACTTTTTCCCAACAGACAGCACCCTTACTTCCTTGGTGAGCCAGGAGGTTACTCCCATTCCTGGTGATGCAGTAAAAGCTGTGGCCACTTACCGCTCCCGTGTTCTGCTGCCGGGCATCCAGGGCACCAGCAAGGCCTTTGGTGGCTTGGGGGTCTTCATACTTTACTCTGGAATCAGAGAGGGGGAGAACAGGCTGATGAGATGCCTGAGAGTGAAGAGCAGGAACTCCTAAATGACTGCATAACTTTTCATACCTTGTCATTCTGCTACCAAGAGCTTCTAGAAAGGTATGCAAAGCCCTTGTTATAGGTGTAGCCCACCACAAAACAGACCAATCTACTCACTGGAACATCGTGGGATACAACAGGACAGCCCTGGCACAGTGACAAAAGGATGACAAGGACTTGTATGAAAATCAAGACACAGACTTACAGAGCTAGGTGCATTAACCACAACATTTACCTTCTTTGGGGTGGACTATAAAGAGAAAAAACTAACACAGACTGAACAGAATATTACAGATATTTCAGAAAGAATTTGAGCAACAGGTCCTCACCTACATACTCACCTATTTTCACAGACACAAACAGCTCAAAACCAGCTCTTTAACTAATACCTCGTGAGAAGTGATGGTGGCAGAGGTTCACTGGCTATGCTACCCATAGGTGAGACTGGATGATCAGAAGAGCTTAGTGTTGCTTCCAAGTCTCCAAATGCACCATTACAGCAACCTCTTTCCACACACAGACATGTCTCACCCATAATTTCCCTCATCCCAATCCTGTGTCCCCTCTAGGCTGCTACTGCACATGACAATGCCACATGTCACCGTTTGATCCATGCCGAGTGGGGAAAACTCTTCATGCTAGGAAAATGAAGCCTTTCACAGAAACTCTCCACAAGTTTCCTCTCCAGCTGCTCCCAGGCCCAATCCCACAGATCCAGCAGATCATCAAGTGGAGCTGTTTTTGTTGGGGGCCATGGGCTTGGGCCACCGCTGCTCAAACTTCTCAAAGAAGTGCTCATCGGTGAAGGGGCCGCTGTGGACAATGGCATCCAGGATGAAGTACAGTGCTGCTATCATGCCACTGATGAGGAAGAATGGCAGGAAAGGCTTGAAGTGCCTTAAGCACTCCCTCACTGAGACACACATGAAGCATGGGGGTCAAGAACAAACCCCAGAGGCTCTGCCAGCACGTCCTATTCGGGAGCTGTAGAGCAATGGGTCTGTTCAAGTGGAGGGAGACACTGAGAGCAGAGGCTCTCAGTGAAATGTGAAGCCAGAGCCACTAGAGGTTACCTGGCAGGAGTGCAAGTGCAGGCAGGAATAAATAGAAGATGTCTTGTTACTTGTGCAGAGATCATAAGCCTTGGCCTGTTAAGGACTGTGCTGCAGCAGAGAGGATACAATTCCACCTCTGTCCAGAACTCCAGCACTGAGCACATACCAGTGGCTCTGGTTTCAGCCCCAGATTGGGTGCTGTGTTGATACAACTGTTTTTGTGCTGGACTGCCTCTGTCCTCAGGCAGCACAACCCACAGTAAAAGCGACGGGAAACCCAGGGACAAAACACATGAAGTCATGTGTGGGCCATGGGTTTCCCCACCACATTTACCAGAAGCAGTCTGAGGCAGAGGAATGGAAGCAAACATCATCAGGAGACCTTAACTTGCCACATGTAAGAGACCTTAACTTGCTATTGGCCAGCTGCAGAACAAGGGACTCCAGTGGCTGCAGGAGTGCAGGAGCACAGGCCTTGGAGGGCTGGAGGCAGTGATGGGCCTGTGGGCTCTACTGCTTGGTACTCTATGGAGAGCAGTGAATGGCTCTGCCAGGCAAAGCAGCGTGAGATCAGCCACAGTCTATAAACCCAGGGGATCCAGGGAGCACAGCTCTTGCCAGCTCCTTCAGAACAAGGATTCAGGAATCCACTCTGCAATGGAGAAGGCCTCTTTAGTTCAGCCAGCACTATGGAGAGTAAAGCACCAGCTCTTAGTGCTTTACACCAGGAGCTCTCAAATGCACCATGGAAGAAGAAACATCAGTCCCACTTGCCAACAGTGAAGCTGAGGCACAGAACAGTGCCCTCCTGCAAGCCACAACTGACTGCACTCTTCCTGCACTCCAGCTCAATACTCTGTCTTTTAGGCTGAATCAGTACTCAGCAATTCCCAAATTCAACATCACCCCAGTCAGGACAGATGACTTCAGAGGCAAACAAGAAAACTGAGCCAGTCCCACTTCACACCTTCATTCCCAGACACTGAATCTCCCAGAACATATGGGAGACCAATTCCTTCTCCCCATACCCAGAGGATGCCATGAAGGGGAGATGATGGAAGCAGGAAAAAGGACTGGGAGCACAGAGCTCATGCTACAAACACTGTGTGTGTGAAGAGCATTTCTGTTTCATCCTGCTGTCTCCCAGGAACTGCTGCTGGTTGTGGTGTAGCCCTATTTTCCCTGAGCCCTTGTCCTTTGCAAGAAGGCAGAAAGGACAGAGCAAGCTGTTCTACTCACCCTTTGCGCTGCTCAGCCAGTGAGCTGCCACGGGTCAGGGCAAACATGTCAAAGTCTTCCTCCAGCTTGCCAGAAGTGTCGAGGGAGTGTAGCCCTGCACTCACACTGCTTGAGCCCAGGTCTGTGGGAGACAGAGCAGGGTGAGCAGGCAGTGCAGAACAGTAAAGGGAGGACTGTGGGCTTGGAGAGTGCTGGATGGAAAACTGTCATCAGAACAGGCTAAACTACCCTAGGCCCACTCCTCCATCCCGCTCCTCAGCTGCAGCACAGTCTATGCATGTGTGCAGTCGTGGGTGAAGTAACAGAAGCTATTTCTTTGCCCACTCAGTAGATATTTTTGGCTCAGTTTCAGACAGAAGCAGCAGCATCAATTTACTGATGCTGGAGGTTAGATGTTCCTGACCATCTTAGACAACTCTGGAGGGAATTGCTCCATAACCTCTGGAAGAAAATAACCTGTGCTTCTGGGTAAGCACCTCTGAGACAGATGAGTGGATTTTCATGACTCAGGCATCATCCGAAAAACACTTGACTTGAAAAATATCTCAGCTGGCTTGTCTGTAAAAAGAGTCTGGTGCCAATTTTCTGCAACTGCATCCAGGCAGTGCTACATAGGCTGTTGGTATGTCTTGAGGACCTCCCAGGACCCCTCAAGTTTTTTGAGTAAACAACCTGTCAGATCCTGGGTCCTGGGCCCAATATGCTCATGGCTGCCTTTGCAGCATAGCTTCAGCTGGTCTGCTTCTCCCAGACCTCACTGGTGAACCTGACACCACACACCAAGAAAGGCAAGTAGGCAATGCTGCCAGGCATTGCAGAAGGAGCAACTTTATCCCCAGTCTTGCCAAAGGCCAGGTCCTTAGCCACAGACTAAAGCTGAGATCCTTCTTAAGTCATGGCCACCTCCTGCACTATGTGAAGTGAGGATGCCAAGACAAATGCTTGAGTGCCTTGGGGCATATACAAGTTTCTTCATGAGTTTGTTAGTTGAAAACACATGGCATTTCTCTAGGTTACACTAGGAATCTGACTAAATAATTTTGGGAGATGATTCAAGGGCAGGAAAGGATTTTCAAAGCAGCACAGGAGAAAGACTGAGGGGAAAACCACATAGCAACACACTCATTCCAGCCAGCTGAGAGGAAAGGTTGCTGGTGACTTCAGGCTGTTTCAGTGCTGAAGGAGTATGGGGTTCCAGGTCAATCAAGCTGTTCTCTGCCTCATTTGGTGCCTTTGGAAGAAGAAAAAAGAAGGTGATGAAGAGTTTCTAAAGCTTGGAAACCCTGACCCTACAATCCTAGCTCATTGATACTGGAGAGGAAAGCCCTTCTGCACCCATTGAAAGATATCAGAAAGATATCAGTGAAGAGGGAGAAGAGGGACAGTGATCAGAGAACTGGCTAGGAATAGTGTCCCAGGGCAGCATATGCCTGGGTAGCTAGCCTCCCAGCTCTGCTGGATGTCAGTAAGTAGGGTGAATGCTGGTTCAGAGGACAGGGTAGTGCTCAGAGTAGGCTCATATGGGAATTGGAATCTCATTATTCAATAACTATAACTGCCGCTGCTCTGCTCTTGCTCTTTGGGCAGGGCAGGAGAGGTTTGCAGTGGGAAATGGAGTGTCCCATGTACCAGGTGCTCTGGTGCAGCTTGGCTGGGAAAGCAAAGCCTGCCATTTCTAAATGGGGCAGACTGAACCTCCCTGCAAGTCAGCAGGGCACTGCTGGACCTGCAGGATGCAAACTAAGCTGCAGAGAGGGGAAGTTGCTCTGAGTTACCTTAACAGGCTGTCCTGTCCGAAGTCGCTCAAACCTGCAGGAAAGGTGACAGCATGCATTTCAGTAGTGTGGGCTCATTCACTCACAGCCCAAGAGATTTTTTGTAAGACTTGGCACAGTCTGCCCTTTCCTTCCCACTAGGAAAGGGGAACTATGGCTCAGTGCCCAATTTCCCCTCAAGATACCATAGCAAGACCCATAGAATTGATGTCTCCTGAGAGGTGGTGTGAGAAAGCTTGTTAGGATCTTCCACAGTTCCTTGTAACTAACAGCTCTCCTTTACAGTTCATCTGGGGATGAACTAGCAAAGATGTGTTTGTTGAAATGGAAGAAAAAAAAAGCAGTGCTGATCCCATCTGGGCAATTTCTTTCTGTCTCCATCTCTCTCAGAGCTAGAAAACCAGCTCTTTCCATGCAGTTGCCTCCTTCTTTTGAGTTATGCCACAGGGACATCTTTATACCCCATCAGGAACTTACACAGCAGCTTTGAAGGGGCAGGACTCAGCAAAAATTGAGGACATTTGGCTTTGTTCTCAAAGATGGATGATACAGACTGATACATCTCAGGTATTACACTCTTGGGCAGATCAAAAGGGTGGGATAGGCAGCCTTCAAGGGCAGTAAAGTCTTGTAGGAGAGCAGGGAAGAGAGGGGAGGAGAGAGGTACCTTTCATGGCGCAGAAACACGTTATTGAGGTTGTCATTGATGAGGAGCAGCTCCTCAGTGAGTTGCTCATGGAGGACACGGGGAATCAGCTCCAGGACTCGCTGCTGCATGGCTCTGCATGTCCGATTCAGCTCCTGTTCAAAGCAGGGCAAGTCACCACCCACAAAGGTCACACTACGGCTGAGCACTCACAAATTTGAAATTCTGACTGGAACACAGATTCCAGAGGCTACTGGGATCTATCGGGAACTGCTGATGGGCAACAAATATTTGGTGTGAGAGGTAAATTGAGTCTAAACTTTACATGGAATAATTGTATGCTTTTTGTATTACACATCACTCAGAAAGAAAGGCCCTTGAGGACTACAAACTCCCTTGTGAAATAATTCCAGCCTTGGCAATGCAATTTTCATCCACCATTGAAACTCTGCTGTCCTTGTGTCTCCCTTATCCCTTCACTTCCTGATAAGCCCCACACTAAACTGTCCAGTTGTTCCCCACCCCTGGCATGCATTGGGCCTCAGTCCATCAAGTCACTGCTAAATTGTGCTGCATGTGCCAGCCCTCCACCCTGCCCAGCATTCCTTACTTGCAGCAGCTCCAGGTCAGAAGGCTCGGCCTGGGATGGCACCAGCTCTGTTAACATCTCCGACATCACCTTTGTGTTCCCATTCACCACTTCCAGCTCACTGCGCAGCTTCCCGATCTGCAGAGGAAAAGTGGAGTGACAGCTCTGCCAGGGGAGGCTGGGGACATGGCTGAGGTAGCTCTGAAGGCAGGGAATGGCACCACATGTGCATGCCTGTTCACAGCCTCCAGGGAGTTCATTTGTCACCACTCATTTTAGCTCTCAGGAGCTCCCAGCAGGAAACCCCTCCATGACTTACCATCAAATTCATTTGCTGGTAGCAGATGCCAGGCCCTCACCTGGGATCTCAGCTGCCAGTCTAGCTTTGATTTTTAATGGCCAGCACAGGCTGCTGGTATGATTCAAATCTCTCCTCAGCTAACAGCTCCCATGTGGTAGCCATTTAAATGGTTTAATTTCCAAAGTGGTGTAAGATAGGGGAAAACAATTAATTCCTATTCAACAGGAGAGCCTCAGTTAAGTGTGCAGTTGAAGCTTTAGTCCTCTGGTTTACAAGCTGCTGCTGAGCCTATTTAGAACTGTTTCTACCCTCTGTTCTGCAAGGGAATGCAAAATACTGACAGCTAGGGGTTTGGTGCTGAACATGGTGTCATATGAAGTCAGGGTGAGGAAGGAGAAAAGAGGATGGGGAAACAAGTGAGGAAGCACAAGTCTTTGGAAACCACATAGCCAGATAGGGTTGATTCATATAAAGTAAGCAGTGAGGCAAGATAAACAAAGATGATAAGGAGGCATCAAGTCTCAGCACCCCACTTTCCTCTACCTGAAAGCAGCCCTGTCTTAGGCAAACGTTGGTTGCAGTATCCCAGTTCATCACTGTGACCACAATAGAGCTCTGAGGAGCTCTCAAAGGACTGTGCCTTAGAGGAACAGCTCCTTGAAGACAGAGGCTGGGGCAGGACCAGTACTGCAGTCCCAGAGCAGTGTCTGTGAAATAGCTTCAAACACAGGAAGGGTCAGCAACATCCTGGGACTTGTGTCCAGCTCACCTGCTCGGGTGTGGGTGTGATGGGTGCGTCGCTGGATGTGCCTCTCCCGGGGGGCAGGGTGACAGGGTGGAGGATGGACTCCATCTGCTGAGGGGAGTTGACTGCAGGTGAGGTCTGTCCAGATTGAGAGTTGGAGCTATACACAGTCTACAAAGGTGGGGAAAGTGACAGAGAGAAGGAAATGTTAGACACACACACTGGGCAGGACAGTGCAACTAGAGGAGAAATATTGATGGCAGCTCCCCAACTGGTCCCAACAGCTCTTGGCTGTCCTGCAGCTTCTCACATCTCACCACCCAAACACCCTCTAAATTCAAGACAGAGTTCCTAAAATCCCCTCATTGCTCCAGAATGGCAGCTGCCCAACATTCTTATCTTCAGCAATGCTCCCATACCCTCTGTGGTGTGTGGATAGGTGACAGCATGTCCAGATCAGTCATGGGGAACTCCAAACCCTTCCGTCTCAGGTCTTCATAGACAGCAACGACACCAGTCAAGTCTGGAGAGCTGCGGAAGGCGTCCGCCCAGGACTGGGGAGGAAGAGACAGTACAGCCCATCAGCACGTACAACAGCCTTCTGTACAAACACCTAAAGACACATACTGCCTGCATGGTGCAGGTGCTCACACTTCTTGGCTCACCTGGATGAGGGTCAGCACCTTGTCATGCACTATGGCGGGTGGATTGTTCTTTGGCAGGATTGTTCTCACCAGGACACCTTCTACAAAGTCCTGGCTGGACACAAGGACGTGGAAACGATGGCCACAGTTCTTGACGCAGGTCTCCAGGACCTTCAAAGGCAATAAAGCATTAGCTGTAGCCTTCTCTGTCCTCATGTGTTTGCCTTATTGGCTTTAGCTATATGAGTTTGTTCAGCATGTATGCTAAAGCCTGTGTTCAGCACTCAGCTTTACAGCAGGGTATCACAGAGCAGAGAAAGAGCCCTGACTGCTCACCGTCAAAGCCAGCATAACTTCATGGAAGTTCTTGTTCCCTACAATTCTCTTCTTAATGGCTCGGAATGCATCTTTGGGCCTGAAGGAGAAATGAGATGAAGAAAGATCATCAAAAGGTTGAAGCAAAGCAAAACAGCCACAGGTTCTGGTTCCACCTCATACTCAGCAGGTGTCCCTCTTCACCATGTTTTTGGCATGGCTTGAAGCAGTGATTGGTAAAGCAGGTTTTGCTTGTGGTTCTGCAAGAGGAGCAAGGTTGGCTGATCATAGAATCATTTAGGTTGGAAAAGACCTTTTAGGGTCATTGAGTCCAGCCATAAACCTAACACTGCAAAATCCACCAATCTTGTCCCTGAGTGCTATTACTGAAATTAGAGGCCTCTGTGCTGATGTCTGCAACAGGGTAAGGTGTTCAGGACACAAGAGAGAACAGAGTAAAAACAATGCTAGAAACACACTCCTGGGGGGTAGAGCAAAATCCCATGGCAGAGAGACTGGAGAGGGGGAGGTCACAGAAAAGCTTGGCATGGCTTACAAACAGGAAGGAGAGACCAATCTGCAGCAATTCCTGTGTTACTCAAAGAGGACCTATTTAATATTTCCCTGGAGAGAAGGAGGCTCAAAAGCTGCAGGAGAGACACACTGGCAAAATCTTGCTTGTATGGCGCAGGTGGGTAAGAGAGCACAGTATAGCAGGCCCTCATTAACCATTCTCAGAGGGGAGAAAAACCATGGTCTCAGTCCACTGTGGTCTTAAGAGAGCACAAACGAACCAGATTCTGAGCACAGGAAGAGAAGCTGAGCTGGAAGAGCAGCGGTGCTGGAGGAGAAAAGTGGGGTGGAGACACTGACTCAGTGAGGAGGGCAGAAGTGTATTGGCCTGTGGGGCAGCCTGGTGTCAGAGGATGGGCCTTAGCAGGACAATGGGAGAGCCTGTCCAGCTGTGTATCAGGTGCCCAGACCTGAAAGCAGCCACAGCTCAGGCCTGAGAACTGTGGACAGAGACAGATGTATTTGCACCGTGGGGATAGTGGAAAAGGAGTGGTGACAGATCTGTAAGTAGAGGTGTTTGACTTTGTTTCCATAGATGTGAAGCTGAAAACTGGGCTTGCTAATCCTCTGTCAACATCACTGTGGGGTAGGACAGCAGGAGTGAAACCTACATGTTTTATTCCATGTAGCACTTTCTTTTTTACTTGCTGCTCCTGACATCTCCACTGTGAGAAGGAGCATTCTCCCTTGACTTCAGTGGCAAATCCCCAGCTCCTGAGTTAACAAGTCTGGCAGACTGATGAACATCTCCCTTTAGGGAGAGGGACACAAGAGCTCCCCCACCCACTTTGTGTGTTTTTGAGTGACTGTACAAATACCTGAGAAGAAACCCAAGAAGGACTGGCACACTAAGAGGACTGAATAGCAGCCTGAGATTTCCCTCTCTTCTCTCAGTCACCAGCCTTTAGATTTTTACATTCCCAGAGGAGAGAAAGAGAAGGTATGAAGGGGGAATAAATCAAAGTGGAAGAAATGCAAATATGCCTTCTGGAGATGGGAGGCAGCCTGACTTGAACAGAGGGTTGTCTGGGGACCCTGAAGGCCTGTTTGAATGGCTCCTGGCACTCACCAAGATTATAGAAAAGCATCTAATAAATGCTCTGACAGCTTTGCTACATCTCTAGGTCTCCTAGCAGAGTCCTGTCTCAGGGATTGCTGGGAAGCCTAGCTTATTACCTCCAGCAGTACATGCTACTACTGCAGCCCAGGGATGTGGTGTTCCAGGGAATTCAGGGACCTGCCACTGCCTATGGGCCCTTGCCAGCTCCCTTACCCTTCTTCAGTCTCGTTAATGATGTCACAGATCTCCATGTTGAGAGCCCAGTCCTCACTCCGCAGGGACCCATCGGTGGCTCTCTCTGGAAAACAGAAACCAAGGTGAAGAGCAGCCCTGGCACTCTTAAGCTCCCACAAGACCCCAGCCCCCAGCCTGCTTCTCCCTCGCTGCCGCTACAAAATACAAGGAGGCAAATTCATATGCAAATTGTGGGTCACCAAGTGCTCCCCACTAGGTGTCACCATGGCAGAGCACACTGCTGGGATGGTGGGTGCCCAGCTTTGCCCACCAATGCTACTGACACTACAAACAGACTCTCTGTGACCTCTGGTGTCCTGTGCATGAAGGGAAGGGGCTCAGCATAACTTCAGCTCCACAGCTAAGGAAAAGGGGGTTTATTTGCTTTGTTCCTGCAAGGCCAGAAACTGTTGAATTCAGCTCACTCACCCTGATACAGATCTAATGCCAATTGCTCCAATTCTTGGTTTATACCACATAAGGAGACAAAAGAATTAGTTTCCTTTTTTTTTTGTACACCAGCTCTATAAAAACAAACAAGCAAACATAGAAAACCAAAGCAGGGTTTCTCTTGTTTAATATTTACACCTTTCCCCTGAACTTCTGCCCTCTAGGGAGTGTGGGCAGAAGCAAACTGCAGGCTGAAGTCAAAGCAATATTGTTCCAGCTTTGATTGTGTCCCCTTTAATTAGGAATTCCTCAGTCAGCCTTGATGTTATTTATTCAAGGCAGAGATTTGGGAAATGAGCAGCTATTACTGTGAGCACCAATGCCTCCACCCTGTAATCATCCATGTCTCAGTCCTAGCCATGCCTTTGACTGATGCCTTCAGGAACACCACCAGTAGAGAATGGCCAGCGGGGCCAGAAGGACCCAGGCACTCCCAAGACCACAGGGAAACACAGACACAGCTAATGGCAAGCAGACGACAAGAACCATCCTTTCCAGCTCTCTCATCCTTCAAAACTCTTGACTTAGCACTGGGGCAAGAGAATTAAAACTGGCCAGACCTGTTCAGCACTTACCAGGTGCTCTTCAGGAGAGCTCAGTCCTAGTGAGGTACTTACAGAAATGCCTGCATTTTCAAAACTGCTGTCCCTGCAAAATCTGCGGCTCAACCTCGCTGCTGTGGGTCCTGTACCCCTTTAGAGGTCCTTCCTCTGCAGAGCTGTCTTTTTCTGCTTTTGACCCAGCAGCTAATGATCCCTGTGTAGGAATGAAATTAAATGCCCATTCACACAGTAATGAGATAAGGCCATAACACAGGAAGAAGATTTTTTAACTCTTGCCTGGGTAAGCACATCCATCATGTCCTGTTTAGGGTCAGGCACAGAGCTATTCACAGCACTGTGCAATGCAGCCTCTTACACGTGTCCCTCCCACAGATTGCACACCACACTGTGAAGCTATCTGCATCTTATCACAATCCAGCCACCACCTTTTCTGTTGGCTACAGTATGCATTGATTACACAGTGATTATGGTGATGACATTGTGGCCACAGCCAGAAGGAAGAGGGCAGACAAGGAAGGAGAGTGGCAGACTGTTCTGGATGCTCTTCCACCTTTCCAAAGGTCTGGCTGTTACTGAAATAACCTCAAGGCTCCTTGATTCAGGTAAACTTTTGTCACTTTGAGTATTAACTTTACATAGGGATCCTTATCTCTGGCAGATCCAAGCTTCCTCAGTGAGGCACAGGAGGAAGGATTGCACTGGGTGATCTGGTGGAGAATACATCCAGGGCAATAGGCATGTCTGGTGCACCAGGGCATGTACCAGCCAATGGGGGAAACTGTGATAACACATGAGGGAAAATATTTTCTACTGGTGTTCCTTTGGGATCAGGACACAGTACAGAGCTCCAGGGTTCTTCCTGCCCTGGGACAGCAGCTGGCAGGCCGATTCTAGCTCAGGTCAGTCTGACGGGTTTGGATCATGTGGTCACAAAGCCCCCCTCACTTGCACTCTCCTCCAGGATCCTCTGCTCATGACACATCATGGTTTGAACAAGTCAGAAGTTTCCCTGCACTGTTTGCTGCACTGGCAATGAATCACAGAAATCCACTACACAGGGGTTGCTCTGCCAAAAGTGAAGTCTACATCCACTCTTCTCACTGCACATGGAAGGAAAAACCCATAACTTGGGAACAGGGCTGAGCCTGTATGGAAGCTCTGAGCAATAGAAAAAACAAAGGACAAAATAAAACCTGCATTTAACCATAAATCCTTGCTGTTCAAATCTCCCCAACCTTCCTTCACATTGTACACAAACATGAATTTAATCTGCAAACTCCCTTTCCTCACTTCCCAATGTTTGGAGGCACGCTGTAACCTGCTCCCCACCACCCTTTCCCTCCAAATGCACCAATCCTGCCAAGGTCAAGCAGCGGGTTTGCTTTTCAGAAAGGAATGTAAATAAACCACGTGTGTTCCTTCACCTGTCTGGCCATTTAGGGGAAAACTGGGCTTCCTCAGAAGTGACACACCCTGCCCCTGTTACCCCACAATATCGTGGCCATCCTGCTGCCATCACCCCAGCTCATACACTCATCAAAGGAGAGCTGCAGGAAAGCCCCAAACCTGCCATAAACACAACACAGGGTCACAAAATGCAAAGCTGGAAGAACAGTATTAGAGCATATGGAAAACAGGAATCTGACCCTGAGGCAATTCCAAGGACAAAAGGCTTGAATTTACCCAGTACAAATTAAGGCCTGGCCTAGCTGGCATTGAGAAAACTGGAGCTAATGCCCTTCTAATCCTCCTTGCTCTCTTCCAAGCTGTAAGGGGCTGTCCAAGCCTAGTAAGATATGGAGTTTTCTCCAAAATACTGAACTTTGCCCTTCTGAAAAGCCTGCAGAAGGGAAGGAAACAAAGTTTAATTAGTCACATGAAGGATCAGGGTGGCTGGCCCCATTTCATGAGCTGTAATTAGCATATGAGCTGTCTGCTCCGCACGAAATCTGAGCCTGGGATGGCTGGGGACAGCGACAAGTCCCTAAAAACAGTGAGCACAGGAGGCAGGGCACTGCCACACACCCAGCACTCTGCCTGGTGGTCATCAGGCAGCATCTACTTGTGTGTGTTACCAGCTGAGCCTGACCTGCAGCAGAGAATTCCCCTGGCAGAGGTTATCGTGAGCCTGGGAATGCCATTCCCCCTCCAAGCCCCAAAGCATTGGCTGCTGAACGTACAGGAGGCCCTACATGGGGCTGCTCCAAAGCCACATTGTTCTGGCAGCCGGTCCGGCTCCCCGGGTGTGACAGCATTGGGGTTTGTCTGATTCCAGTCTGCTGCCTCACAAATTGCTCAGATGGACCCAGAACCGCGCAGGACTGTGGTAGGGGTTGGACCAGAGCATGGGCTCTTTTCCTGCATGGCACTGGATGTGCTCCTGCTGACTGCAGCTAGGTGATAAAAGTTATTTGGAACCAGCAGATAACAAAGAACTCCAAACACTTGGCATAACTGGTGCAAAGGATCTGTACACTGCTTTGTGCTATGAGTACATTTCACAAGTTTGCTTCTTTTCAAGGTTGTTGTGTGTGCCCTGGTGGCAGGGGAGAGTGCACTGTGCAGCTGGGGATCCCACTCAGCTGTCCCTGCAGCAGCACACTGGCACTGCAGAAGTGTGGGGAAGTACAGGAGCCAGGGACAGAAGGTATTGTGCAGGCTCCTGTCCCCTTTGCTGCCCACCCCACACCTGAAGCACCCATAACCAGCCAGATGCTGCTCAGAAATCCCTTGCCTGTGATATGCTCTGCCTCTCCTCCAAGTGAAGCCTTCAAACAATGCTCCCTGCAGTGTTCTTGCTGGCTCTAAGTTCCTCAGCAAAGCATCAAGCACATTCTCACCCATTTCAACAGGTGTTTGAGGACACCAGCAGTTCATGGCATGAGGCAGCTTAGGCTCAGCAGAAAGCAATGCAAGATGTTCCTTCTTCCAACTTCATTTCAGTTCACAAACTCACAGGCCCAAATCAGCATCCTGTACAAGCCTCATGCTTTTACTTCCCTTGAGGGAACTTCAGCACCAGGTCTGTCAGGACTTCACCATTTAGCTGTACCCTTCCCCCAAAGCCTGAGAGCACAGCGTGCATTTTAGAGAGACCAGAGATACGGCTCCAAACCTAATTCAAGGATGGTGATGGACACAGACTGCGCTGACACAGCGGTGTGGGTATGTGTGTCTCTGAACTCCTGTTCCTGTCCTGTGAATCAGCTCAAATTCTCAGGGATCAAGTGACTCTTCAACTGCTGTGTTTACCCCTTTTCCTCCAGACAGAGGAGGCACAGAAGACAAGGCAATGCCTTTTTGAGAAGCACAACCTTGCAGGGACCCACAGAGCCCACAGAGGAGTGCAGCAACACCTGCAAGGTGGGATCCAAAAGGTTGTGGTGATTTTTCTGGTACACTGTTTTGCATCTGCCTCTCTTCCTCACCCAGGAGCCTTACTTACTTGCTCCTTCTTTACAGCCTCGACTTTTCCTGGTCCTCATGCTTAAAATAACCCCCATCCATAAAAAACATCTGTGTCATCTCTGTGCTACACCGTTACGTCTATCCCTTGCCTGCCCTCACTCACTGAAATAACCTGCCTGTGTCCCTTTTGGTATTGCTATAATTACTAGTTATTTTAGACTTACAGTGTGAGGAGAGAGCTCACTTGGTGGTTTCTTCTCCATTCTCTCACTTAGAGACAATTCACCTACTTGGAATTAGATTTTCCATTTTGAAAATGGAAAAAAGCTTCTCTTAGCTCTTAGGTGGAGGCATAGTGGATTTCCCTTTCCAGAGGGGAATCTGAACTATGATGCTTTATCACTCTTTGGAAATTTTCCCAATGGTGTTTAAAAAAGCCCACCACACAACAGAATCAAATACAAAAACCCCAAACAAGTGAGTCTGTATTCCTCCTGGGAAGAGACATCACAGTGCAAAAACAGGAGAGGCAACTTTTGTGACTAAATCTCAGAACTGTGAGTAAGAAACTAGAAAACCTACTCCTCTGCAACTGACTCATTCTGTGACAGATCACTGAGATTATCTGAGCATTGCTTTCCTAGTCAGCAAAATAAATGGGTCTTACTAGATTAACATTAATGAAGGAATTTGAGAACGTTGCTGCAGTGGCCACAGAGGGCTTTTTTTTCCCCCTTAGCCTTCATCTAAAGCTATTTTAGACTTTATAAGCTCTATCAAGCGTACGTGACTTTGCCCAAATAATTTGCAAGGACGCAGCATTATCTTTCTGCAGACAGCCCAGGGCAGCAGCACTGTGCAGGTTTGGTGCTCAGGCTCAGGGGCTGGACACGCAGCTGACACAGACCTACCAAACGAGTTTGGGGAAGTCATGTTTGCGTCCCAAATTAAGCAGGGGAGATAGCATTTATCCACATCCCCAGGATGTTGATAGGCAATGTTCATATTCATATTTTCAATCACCTCCCCTTTCAAGTCCTCCAGAGAGCTCCTTTCTCATACGTTGTAATTCCTCCACTTCTTTGGACTCCCGTAACCCCAGTAAACCCCCAGTCAGTAAGAACTCCCTAGAATCACACCTCTGCTTCTCACATCCTCTCAGGCACTTTTGAAATATCTTTTCTTTTTTCCTCTTCTTTGCTGTTGGTTTGTTGCTTGGGAATCCCTTATTTAATTGAAACAAAGCCTAGAGGTATAACCCACTTACAATCTGGTTACTAAACTGACCAGAAGATCTGTGAGGCAACTTTCAGATTGCCTCTACCCAAACACAAGGGCATATCTGATACACTCACTGAGGGAACAAAGAGCATTCATTCAGGAAAGGGCAGGAGACGGCTTCTCCTAGAACATGGGATTAAACATGTGATGTTCTGGGGGTATGTTGAAGATCATCTGGAGGATTTTGATAACACAAAATCTTCCCTGATGATCCTTCCACCACCTGGCTGTAATGGATCTCACCTACCTGTCCCAACACCAGAGTGGCACATCACAATGCCCCTGACACACTTTGGGACAGTTTTAGGGTAGCCTCTAATATCATTATAATAAAAGCATTAATTAAAGCAGCTGCTTGCTCTGTTCCCACCCAGGCACAGCCTCCTATTCACTCATGCAAGGACACCAAAAAGACTGAATGTGGGACCAGATGTTCACAGCAAAAAGCAAAGGTCTGACAAGCAGTGAACAGCAAGAATGAGCAAGTGTATAAACTCACAAATGGAGTTTAAACAGGCATCAACCTTCAAGCACAACTTCAAGGCTCTTAGGCAATACAACACAGGAACAGAGAGTCTTCATTCTAAGCATTTTAAGAACTGCATCCTTGCTCTGACACCAGTGTGGCTGTTGACGGTCTTCTTCTCTCTAACTGCGGCATCTCTGCTCCACTTTCTCAGGCCACATCCTTCTCCCATGTTCCCCATCTGCCCTGAGCACAGGGACTGCAGGACACCCACCATGTGCCCATGGGCCTGCCAGGGCACAGGGTGGGTGCTGTGTTCATTGCTGGAGCTGGTGCTCCACGCTGTGAGCCACAGCCAGATGGAAGAGCTCGTGCTGCAGGAGCCAGGGCATGGCCCTGCCAGGCTCCACTTGTCCCACAGCTCAGTGCGGGGAGGCTCAGGGCAGGCAAACACCCCCAGCTGCCCAGCGCTTGAGTCCTTTGGGTAGGGGACACTGGTCCCACTGGGCGAGCCCAGCGTGAGGCTGCTGTTCCCACAGCTGTGTTGTCCCCACAGCCCTGGCTGATCCCATCCCACAGCCCCGCTGTCCCCACAGCCCTGCTGTCCCTGCAGCCCCACTGTCCCTGCAGCCCTCACTGACCCCGTCCCACACCCCGGGGTCTCGAGGCCGCCCCTCGTGCCACCGCGGCTCACGCGCCCCGTTCCCGCCCGGCCGCGACAGGCTGCCCTGGCTGGAGCCCAGCCAATCAGCAGCTCCCCGAAGCCCCCGAAGAGGCGCGGGCGGGAATGGCCCCAAGCCAATCACGGGGCTCGGCGATGCAGGGGGGCGTGGCGCGGACCACCGGCCTGCGGCCCCTTTAAGTGAGCAAACTTCACCTCGCCACCCCGAGACCCCCTCGCGCCCGGATTGGCTGGCGGGAACCCCGACGGAGCCGCCTCGGGCTGCGAGCTTGCTATTGGTCCGCAGGACCCGTCAGTCAGAGCAGAACTCTCTTCTGATTGGCCAGCGCGCTGCTGGTCCCGCCGCGGAGGCGGGGGCCGACGTTTCCCCGAGGAAGGGTCCGGCGGGCGCCCCCGGGGGCGCGGGGCCGGACGGGCGAGCCGGGACGCGGGTAGGGTCGGGGGGCGCGGATGCGGCTCTCACCGATGCGCTGCCCCACGGGGGAGCTGAAGGGGTTCCCCAGCAGAAAGTCCATCGCCGCCGCCGCGCCGCGATCAGCTGACGCTGCCGCCGCCGCCGCTCACGTGACCGCGCGCCGGCCGGGGCGGGCCCCGCCGGGCCCCGCTGTGACGCCACCGGCCGCCGCCCGGAGCGGCCCCTCCGTGCCAGGGGCTGAGGGAGGCGCGGGGCGGCCGCGGTGCCGGGGTAGGGCCGTGTGCAAGCCGACCGCTCCCTGGTCCCGCTGGCCCTTAGCCCCGGGCGCAGGAACCGAGGGGCTCCCGCCGAGAGCCGCCGCCGCTTTCTGCAAGCACGCCGAGCTCGGGCAGGACACCCGCGAGCCTGAGCGATGCCTAAAGCCCGGAGAGCCTGTGGCGATGGGCTTTTAGTGTTCCATAGCCCGGTGCGAGTAGGAAGGACTCCCGATACTCCCGGTAGGAGTTTGGAAGAAATTCTTTACTGTGAGGGCGGTGAGGCACTGGGACAGGTTGCCGAGTTGTGGATGTCCATCCTTGGAAGTCTTCCCGGCCGGGTTGGATGGGGCTTTGAGCAAATATTTTGTGGAAGGTGTCTCTGTGACAGGGGTGTTGGAAATGATCTAAGGTCCCTTCCAACCCAAACCATCCTGTGACTCTACCCAGGTGGTTGGCACGTTCTGGGATGTGCTCCTGGCCTAAGCAACTGCCCTGCCCAAGCTAAGGCTGCAATCAACCAACACCCATACCTGGAAAATGGGGATGTGTTAATAACCAGCACAAATCCTGCTCTAACGCTGCCACGCCTGACTTCCTGCATCACACACCTGAGTCCCGTGTCACCTGAACGCCAGGAAGCTGAACTGAGGTGAGGCAGCAGGGAAGACAAATGCCCTGGTGTTACCCACACTGCTCCATGCTACATCTCCCTTCTGGGTGTCCCAAGCAGTCAGGAACCTGAGTGATAATTTGGGTGACTGGTGTTGCTGGAAACAGTACAGCTTGCCTGCCAAGTGAGTGAGTTTAGGAGGGTTAGGATTGGATATGTTTTGCTGAGAAACAGTAAATACAAGTAGTAACAACAGCTGTAGAAAACAGCACATGCCAGAAATAAATGACAATACTCCAGAAGTTTAAAAAAAATTATATTGTAAGTACAGTACAAAAGTCTGTGTATAATTGTAATGTAATCTGGACCAAACAGCAAAGAAATAACAAAAATATAAAAACTGCTAAGTCTTGACAAAGTTTCCCTATAGTACCAAATGCCACAAGATACAGATTATACAAAGTGTACAAATTTTAATAAAAATACAATACACCAGGGTGTGTGTTTTTCACTCTTCAAGAGTTTTCAGTTGTACAGAGGACAAAGCTAAGGTTGATCCCCTTCTGTTTCTTCAAAAGCAGACCTACCCCTTCACCACACTGCTCTCAACTGTGAAGGGCTGGAAAGAACCAGTTATTCAGTGCTGCTCGCAACAGCAGATGCTTTAGTATGGGCCAGGATCTGAAGCAGGATTGGACTGCCTCCCTCCTGGCCCCTCCTATTTCCAGGCTCACTGGGATTTGTCCTAAGCTGTTAAAACATATGTTCTGGCCTGGTGGACTGAGAACCTTCTGTGCCTCCTCTGCTGAGAAAACCCCTGACTGCACTGAGGAAAGTTCTGTAAGAGACAGACTACCTTGTACAGGCACATCTGGGGAATATGTGGCAAAGAGGCATGGGGAGAAAAATCCTCCACACCCCAGGATTTCATTTACTTCTGATTTGGGACTCAGCCACAGTGAAGGACAGCTCACTTTCAACTGTCCTAAAAAACAAGCTAGACTTACTTGGAAGTAAAAAATGCCTCGTCTCTAATTTTAAAACTTTCCTGTTATAGAGTTGATAAGGCCTGAGTCAAATGATATTTCAGTTGTTCTGCCCACCTTCACAAGATAGCCTGTTTCTACAAACTCTTAGAATCTTCCTGGTGTTTCTTTACACAATGCCCATGCTTACTACTATGTATAGAGTTGATTCCTGCAGGAAGTGAGCTGCGACAAACTTGATTCACATTTTTCACACACTGTTGGCTGAGGGAGGGATTTTTGCTTTTAAATTATGTATATATATATAAATATATACACACACACAGAGAAATATACAGGATAAATTAAAATCTGTTACAGATATTGGTAAAAGTTAAATACATGTGATATGAACACCACATACACATACATACACACAGACAAAAGCCTAAACAGGAATCAAGTGTTCTCCTGCTGCTCCTCTTCCAGAGGAGCAGAAAACCAAACTCCAAGTATGTGGCTGGAAGGAAGGGGAACCAGTCCAATCAACCCACATGTGCCTTACTTGGCCATAACTGCCTCAAACTGGCCACTGGTCGCTGCCTTGCAGCAGCACCACAGCTCCTGCAATAGTGCTGGTGAGAGAGATGGTGGATGAGCCATTTCACAAACAGGTGCAAGATGGGCAGAAGCAATCCAAGTTTTTCCCATCTGCTTCTCTACTCCTTTCCATCAAAGCAGGCTGACCATGCCGTGGAAAAATCAGCAGGAGGTTCATTCTCTCAAGCCAATGCAATGGGTTGATACATTGTGCTAATAATGATTTGAGTCCACAAGGAAAAAATAAACTTGTTGTCATCTACTTCACTTCAAATACCAGCTAGCAGACCAGCCAGCCAACACTGACAAGTTTCAGTTAGTACTGACTGAGGCATGGGGGTTGCAGAAAGTGACCAAGAGGCAAAAAGCTATCCAGCTTTTCCCTCAAGTGTGTTTTAAACAGAAACAGTTACAAATAGGGCTGGTGAAGAATTCAGTTCTATTCCCTGGTCCAAAATGTATCATCTCTACCTGCTCATAGAATATCAGAACACTTTAGTTTAGGCAGGGACGAGGAGATCATCTGGTCCATCTCCCTGCTTAAAGCACGTCCAACTAGAGCAGGCTGCTCATTCAGTTTTTGAATATCACCAAGGAAGGAGAGTCAGGAACCTCTCCGGGCCGCCTGTTTCAAAGACTCCTCTCATGGTGACAGCTTTCTTGTTTATATTGAAAAGTTCATTCTCTGTTTGCTTCCCCCACTGAATCTGAATTTAAGGCAAATATCTCAAAAGCTTTCTGAATTCTTCATACAAAATACTTTCAGACTGGAGGACATTTCACCCACCAACACAAAACAGTTTTTTCAGCTTAAGTTCACAACGTTTCATAAAATAGAAGTCAAATAGTTACAATCCTATGTATATACTATACACATAAAAAACTTTAAAAGCCTCCCCATGGAGCCCCTCAGGAACGTTGGCATAGTGCACATACACAAGTCAGTTACACAGAGGCTGAGTACGTCCCAGGATCCTTTCCCATCAAAGTCCAGGCATGATGTAGGCAATGTTGTCTAGTGTGTTTGACTGGGAAAAGAAATTCGGTGGTTTTAGTGTCAGGTAATAACTCAACATCTCTGAAAAATGGCACAGGTGAGGGTACTAAGCACAATTACTTGGGGTACAAGTTATCATAGGATGAGACAACCAAAGCTGCCCATTGATCACGTCTAACAGGGTGTCAGATGGCAAAAAGAAGAGTCCTTCAGTTTTTCTTGGAAACCATAACAGAATTCTGAGAGTAAGAATCCTTCTCATGCCCATCAGAGAAAAAGACCCAGCTGTATGTTTTTCAGATGCAGTGTTTCAGTAAGCTCAAGCCTGTGGCTGGACAGCTGAAGGAGGCCTTAGGAGCAGCACCTTTAAGCTGGAGAAGCTTGAAGAGAAGCTGGATCTGCACCAGTTGTGATTCTAGAATTTAGCAATGCCATCTACTGTCTCAAATATAAATTGCAACACAACTGCTGGGGTTTATCCGTGTCTCAGAACACCACTGTCGTTATGTACCTGACTGTGAAAATCAGATTTATTATCAGCTCCTGAACAGGGCTTTCCAGAAGTGAAGCATAGCTGCCATAATTCACCTAAAGCTCCATTGCTCCTTGTAACAATAAGTTGATCGAGTTTCTAATAAACGCACCACTGCTCACGTGGCGTCACTGCTCTGAATAAACTTGGCAAGCAGGAAGGAAAAAAAGCATCAGGTTTTCCATGGCTTATGATGGGAACACCCCACTGACTCAGCTTTTGTGCATAGAGCCAGTTTGTGGGTGTTCACACACTAAATTTTCAACTTTGTTCCTGTTGTTGACAGTCCATTCTTGTAATGAATAAATGTTTGGGCTGCCCTGTTATGACATGTCAATTCATATCACATTTTCGTTGCCCCTTCTGCCAGATTTGTTTTTAATCTCTTCAGTTTTGCAGACTGTCGTTTTTTATTTTTGCTCCTCTCCTTTGCTGCTTTATTCACGTCTCCTGTAGGAAGTATGACTCTTGGTGGCTGCTGCCATCTTAATCTATGTCCACACCAGGCTACACAGATGCCACGAGCTGTTGCTAAATCAGGGCTCAATATTAAGAGTAGCTTAAAGCAGAAAAGAAACTGTAGTTATGCAGCTCTCTAAGAGAGAGACTATTTTTCCTTTCTAAGAGAAGGTTTCAGGCACTTGTAAAAGGTCCTACACCATCACATTAGGAATCCTGAGATCACAAATTGGTTTTTATGCTACTGAAGGAAAAACAGCTTGTGTGATAAAGAGCAGCTTGAAGGTGATTTTATTTTTATGGAATATTAGAACTTTCAAAAATACTGGTTTACTTTTATTCGTTTTAGATTGATTGACTCCATCATGACTAAAACAGGACCTACCCACACTGCAAACCATGCTACAAATATTAGGTCAGTTGCCAGTGGGAGAAAAAAGGGTTGCACAATGTTGTACATCGGTAATATCTGTAAGAATTTCAATAGATATTCCTCTATAAAAGCCCATGACCAAGACAAATTTTCTTACTGCATTGGAATTATAGTTATATTACACTGATTAATCAAAAAAGCTCTATTTGTAATCTACTGAAATTAACAGTGCTAGAAAGAAAATAACCACAAAGAACTCACCAAAACGTGTTTTGGGCAGCCATTCAACTCAGGCAGTTGTGTGGTCAGACATGCCAACGGGCCCAAAGCACAGATGATTGAGTCTAGGAGTACTGACAAACTTCCAGAAACAGCCACCATTCCCTGGTAATGAGGAAGAAAAAGATTGGATAGCGATGAGGAGTGGAAATTGCACTTCTTTCTCAACTGTATCCACTCTCATGTAGATACTGTATCTTCAGCTCCTCCAGTCCACTTTCGATATTTACACAGTAACAAAACTGTGCCTCGTTCTTTAGAGAGACTGCTGGCTCGAAAACTTCAGTTTTCAGGAGGCAATGAACTGGTGCAAGATAAAGACAGGAATCAACAGAAAACACCACAAAGTTGTCAGTTGCATAAAATAGTGATTCCACAAATTTTTGTAATATATTTTCTGTGCCATTTTGTACCACCTATTTTGTTAACTACATGAGTCCTAATGACAATAGTTGTTTTATTTTTGAAGGTAAAGAAATGCTAAGCCTGTAACAACTGCTTTAGTCATTGATATACTTTCAGGAAAGGGAATTTGTCTGTGCACTTTTCTGGGCTCTGGTTGTTCCTCCCATGATCTCAAATCAGTCATACCAAAACCAAAATGCAAGAACATTTATTTCACCGTTGATAAAATAAGCAAGCATAGTGGGGATAGATTATCATGCTACTCATAAAACTCAGTGATATTATTTGAGACAAAAATATTTTCTCCTTAGAGGCTGGGCTAGTTCTCTGTGAATGTACATTCACAGAGTCACTGTTATTTAACAGCAGGAAAACATTAAAATGTGACATTATGTTACCAGGTAAGTTGAAATAATTGTAGCCCCTATCCAAAGCACTGGCAATCGGATACCGCCAGAAAACGAGAGGACATGCAAGAAACTTCTTGGGAAAGGGTGACAGTTCTGTAAAAAGTAGAACAGTAACAGAATCTGACCACAGACTGACTAAATAGTAAGGAAGTACCAAATCCAAGGTGAACATAGAGCAAGAAAAGACTGAAGAGTTTGCTGAACTACAAACTGGTTTCAAAGACTAGAGCTGCAAAGCACCCGTCTTTCATTGATGCCTACTGTTTACTGAGGCCTTTTATTTCACTAAAAATTAAGAGCGATGCATCAAAGAAACAGGGCATGCCACCTCTAGTTTCTCTTCCTAACAGAAAGCCACTGGTTAAACTCTTAAGAAAATAAAACAATCATCCCCTTGAATGTATTGTGTAGATTACAGGACATCACTGTGACATTGCTGGTTACAGGCTCACCTCTGTTTCCTGCAGTCTGTGTCCAATGAGGCTCAGAGATTCACCCAGTAACTGTAAATGTGCAGCTACATCAATGGGATCTGTCTCAGGGGCTTTGGCTGGTGAGGAAGGCACCACCACGGTGCTGGTGGGGGATTTTTTGTGAGGAGAAACCACCCCTGTTGGAGAAGCTGGAAAACATACTAATTAAAATTCCACATTCCTTGCTTTCACTCTTTTACTCACAAGCCTATTTAGTTACTGAAGTTCAAATCTCATAGGCATGAGGTGCTTGAATATTTCTGTTACCCCAGTCCCATAGTCTCTGTACTCTTGAAAATTTTTTTTACATGTACAGAACCTATCTACCTCAGCTGAATGCAGCTGGGGAGATTTGGTATCAGAGATGCTAAACCAAGAACAACCCATCTTCTATCTAGCACCAAACTAATCCCACTAGAACCTCATTTCTGCCTCTTCTTCTTTTACATTTCGATCCTTAAACTGCCAAAACCAATACCATTCTATGAATCAGACAAGGAAATCTTTATGAAAAATGCTGGCATCACTCTCACTTTCACAGAAAAGTTGATTTGACTAGTGATTTAAATGTCATGCTTTAAACGTGATTTAAATATCATGTGAGAAAGCAGGTAAGGAGGTGAAGCAAGTAAGGGCCTTTGTTTTTTATTCCACAGGCAACACTACCTTCCCCAAGGTAAAGAATTTGTCTTAAAAAATTTGTCTCATCCAAGAAAAGAGATGAGACAAATAAAGTGCAACAATTACCTTTCATTTTTGGAGCACCATCTGAAGATGATGCCTTTCTCTTCACAGTGGTGGCCTCTGCTTTATTCTGCTTGTGTTGGAGATACTGAGCTTTCTGTTTCCAGATCTATAGTTACCATGGTAAGAAAAGAAAGATTCATAACATTAGGTAATTCTGTTACCTGATGCCAGGACCTGGAGGCAGAATGATGTTACATAGCTAGGAGGTGAAGCAATCCCATGAGAACAAAATGAATGCTTTTATGTTTGCAAGGGCAAGATTTCCATACTTTCCACCTTTACATGCTTTAAGGATATAGGTAACATATTTCAAGGCATTGTGGCAATGCTGCCACCACATTCTTCATCTAAGCACCTAGTTCACAGAAATAATTTTACAAAAACATCTCACACAAACACTCACCAACTTATCTTTCTCAGGTAGCTGCTTCCACACTTCTGCCAGTTTTTTACTTAGCTCTCCAAAATCTGGCAGAAAGAAAGAGAGAAAGAGGGAAAGAGAGAAAGAAGAGAAATGTTTAAAACAAATTTGATAATAAAATCTGGAGAGAACATAGGAAATTTACCGGCCCCTCCACACACATTCTACAACTGCAACTCTCCACACCATCCTGAAAATGTGCATTCCTGTTACTCTTTAAAATAAAAAATAAAAAATAAAAAATAAGAAAGCTGATAGCAGGAAGATGAAGTCACAGTGTATTTAGGGGAAAGTGACAACAATGAAGGTAATTCTTTAAGTAAAGAAAAAGTTAGCAAGTTCTTTACCTAGATTCACAACTTAGTTAAAATAAAATCATAATACAACCACGAAATCCACTCCTAGCTCCTTTGCCATCTCTTATTCTAAGTAACATTGGCAGATTCTTTGCATTATGCAAAATTAAGAAGTTGGTCTGAAATGGAGACAATATGTTCTCCTAATTAATCTTACTGGTGTAAAATCAAGAGAAGAGAAGGCTGGATTATTCCCTTACCTATTCCAGGATGCTCAGACACAATATTTGTACGATATTCCTTACAGAACACTTGATAAGCAGACATGTTTTTCTTCTTTGGCTAGTCAGAAGAAGAAAGGAAACAAAGATTTTTAATTATGATGAGACCTTCTCCAATTTATTAAGAATTTGGCATTTATTAAAGACTTAAAGAAAGATATGGTACTTAGGTCAGGAAACTTAAAAAGCAGTCCTTTACATCTCCTGGCTGAATTTAGTCTTTATGAAAGCACAGGAATCACCCAGAAACAGTCTTAGTACAAGGCTTATCTTGCAAAACTCAACACGCTACTATTCTAAATTCAGTATCAACATACAACTTTGTTAATGTATTTCAGCTTTAAAACCTATAATAAAACCCAGTATCTGTTATTCTATTCATAGTACCTATTATAGATCTGTCAAAAGGATTAAGTCCTCATGATAATGTTTTGTTCCATTCCTTGCATCCTTACAAAGTACTTCCATTTGGCAGGAAAAGAGACTGTGCAGTACATTGACAGCAAAGGTATTGCAATTGCTGAGCTATGATCAGGAAAAAATTCCAAAACAGAAGAGGATAATGGCTGAAGAGATTTGGGCTCTGTCTGTCCATTTCCTCATACAAAGCATTATTTCTCTAGCTGAACATGCATAAGCTCTTTTTCCCCCTTTTTTTACACAGCTACAGTTATCTCATTTGTAAACTTGTTCACATACTAGCTACCACTTCTGCAACTCATATCTTTATGCAGTAACCATGGAAAACTGAATGTATAGGACAGGACAAAACTGGGAACATGGTAGTCTATTAGAATTAGAATTTCATTTGAATACAGGAGTAAATGGGTAAATATCTTCAATTTTCAAGTAACAGCTAGATTCCTTTTTACAGGAACTTTGATCACTAGTCCAAAAGTGTGCCTGGGAATAGCTAGAGCCAGTGACATTAGAAAAAGATGCAGATGTGCTTGGTACATGACCTACACCAAGCAAAGTTCTCTGTTTCCCAGAGAACCTCTACTGGCTAAAGATTGTACCACAAAGCCAGAAGAGCCAGAAGAACATATATTCCTTCTGCCACAAACAGAAATCACAGTGGCTGACACGTTTTTCCAAATATGGTTCAGTTAAACCATTGATAATTGGTATCAGTTTTCCTTTGTTTCAATTTAACATGCCTTTGTAATGGAGTGCCTAATTCAACATTACCCACCATCCAATTTCTATTTTCTGAAAAGAAATTCAAATTTTCCTTACTTTGTCTCTTTCTCTTTCCTTTTCTCTCTCCTTTTCTTTTTCTCTTTCTTTTTCCTTTTCTCGTTCCTTTTCTTTTTCTCTTTCCTTTTCTTTTTCTCTTTCTTTCTCCTTCTCTCTTTCCTTTTCTTTCTCTCTTTCCTTCTCCTTCTCTCTTTCCTTTTCTTTTTCTCTTTCCTTCTCCTTCTCTCTTTCCTTTTCTCTTTCCTTTTCCCATTTCTCAGACTTGTCCTTCTCCCTGTCTTCCTTTTTCCTCCTCTTCTCGCCTTGACCATCTGAGTGAAAAACAGCAGGAGGAGGTGGAGGGACACCATAGGGGGTACTGGCAGGTGGTGGTGACACTCTTACTTCTGCTACTGCCACAGGAGAGTGCCCAGAACTCTTTTTAGACTTGGAATGCTTCTTCTCTCTGTGTTTCTCCTTGTCCTTCTTTTTCTTACTTTTTTTGGACTTCTTCTTCTTCTTGATTTCCCGGTAGGAGTCATCTATCACCAGCTCTCCAGCCTCCAGCTCTCCACCAGAGGAAGAACCAGATTCTGGTGGTGCCTCCATGCCTGAAACCTCGTACTCGCTTCCATGGCTCTCTGAATGAAGGGAGGTGTCAGCACCAAAACTCTCAGAAGGTGGATGTGAGTCTGGAGGTGGTTTGTGCTTTTTCCGGGATGACTTCAGGAAGCTCTGCAGATCGTGCCCCAGCAGGAATGAGCCTTGCTCATCTCGAGCTGATTTCTTTGAAGATTTCTTTGCAGCTGCTGGTGCTGAAGAGTAGGATAAAGAATCATCATCTGCTGCACTACTTTTTTCTTTTGGTGAAAGGATGAGCTTCATCTTCAAGCCGTCAGGTTCACGAAGAGTAAGTGTCTCTGTGTTCACATAAAGAGGTTTCATTTTTTTAGATTTGTGGGAACTGCTGTCATCCACTGAGTGCTCCCCACTGCTCCCACTCAGCTTCTTCTTGGGATGCTCCTTTCTGCTTTCAGAATGGCCAGAGGAAGAATGAGATGATTTTTCAGAGGTCCTCTTTGAAGACTTTGAGCTTGTGGCCAAAGGTGAGTTGATAGTCTTAAGTAAATCCATGGTTGTATCAGTTGAGGATGGACTGGAAGCTGCTTTTTTCTTCTTTTTTGATGGTAGATCCAAAGGCGAGACACCTAAAAAAGATCAAAAGAAATGTACATTGAGATGATTCTCTTAAAGATGGCAAAGAAGGGAAGTGAGAATCCTGTGGGCCTCCTAATTACAGGTGACAGATTTACATCCTGGCTTAAAAAGAACCACAGCCATCTCAGCACAGCCTTACTGATACAATTCAGAGGCTGTGACACCTGAGCTGGTCAAATAATTTAAGGAAGGGAGAGACTGCAGGGAAGTTCTTGAAGTTTTGTGAAACTCCATTTGTGAACTTACGAAATAAAATATTTTGATGAAAATACATCTAATTGAAATTACACCTCAAGTGCAAGGTTTTTGTGACATTTTTAGCCAAGGTAAAACCAATGAGTTGAAAATATGAGCTTTTTTATTCTGGAGACAGATTTGAATGAAAGATGAAATTTCAGCTTGGCTTTCTCCTTCTCCTGGACCAATAATAAATCTTAAATGTGTTAAGCTTCTACAAGCTGAATTGTCATTTTCCAGCCAACTTATTAATTGTGAGAATACCTGAACTGAGACGCATTTCTTTCCAACCTCAGACATTCTATTTTTTTAAATCCAGAGGAAGTTACATTATCCTCTTAAGTATAATTAGTTTTCAATGCAATCAGTAAACAAGAAAAACAAATGTCAAATGTGAAGGCATGAGTTAGCAAACTACAACTTGTCAATGAAAAGGGGATGGAAGATCTCTACCCCCCACCATGGCAACTTGTTAAACCAGACTCTGAAAATATAATTCCCTAATCTTCTGCTGTCTGGTGCTGATCAGTGTCAGGTTTCTGATTAGCTGTTCCAAAGCAGGTTGATGTATTCTCCATCTTTAAAATGCTAACCACAAAGCTTGATGACACTGGTTTAAGACATTCCTTTCCTTAAAGTCATGATCTGTTAGCCCCTTCTCCTGCTTGATTACTTCCTTACCTCTGTAGCAGAACTCATCGGAGGAATGCTTTCTCTTCTTTTTGTGAGCTTCTGTCCCTGGAAAAAACTCACTGTCCTGGAATAAGAAGAAATAAATTGCTGTCAAAAAGGAGGGAAATAATATGAGAGTCACATGGACTATTAACAGATAAAAATTTATAGGAAGTATCAAGGGTTATTTGTACTGCTACAACATCAAGGATCTGTAGGTATGAACCAGGATCATCTTTCTAGGTGCTAAAAGAAAACCTACTCTGTCCCCCAGAGCACACAGTGTAGGTTTAAAGTAAGATGAAACACATGTTACAGATAGGTGGGAGAATACAAAAATATCATTAGTCAGGATTGGTTTCAGCACAATGGTCACCTAATTGACACAGAGCCTTCTGTAGGCACGGCAGCACAATAGGGCTCCAAGGAAACTGAAAGACAGATCTCTGCAGGGAGACCCCCAAGAGAGAGGAGCAAGATAAAAGAAAAAGCACATTTGCAAAGTGTTGAGATACGGGCAATGCAAGCCATCACTTGAAGATCAGCTGATAAATTGATAAAAGACTGACATCTACCCTTTAATAAAGCTAAGAAATAACTTCAGATATATAGACTGTCAAGCCTTGAAAACAAAGGAGAGCAGTTTATGCTTACCATGCTGAAAAAGAAGTAACAGGAGGTACAAAGAGGTGACAACTAGAATGATGGGACAAAAATATGTCCTTAATATGCCACGTCACCTAATTATTATCTGTGGTTTGATCAATTTATGAAATAGAAATTGAAACTCCTCTAAAGAATTCCAACCGCAGGGTAGAAGATTTTAATTTTAAACAAAATTTGCTTTTGAGATGGAAAAAAAACCCCAAATCACTAGATAGCCACCTCTGAGCTAACAGCAGAAATTGTAGCTCAAAGAGGAAAGAAGTTTTTGAAGAACCTTAAGTTGCCACTATGTAATTTCAAGAGTTAAGGCCCAAAGAGGTAAATAGGGCAAGTTCATTCTTCTCAAGAACTATCGTTTCAGGCTGTCTGCAGAATCAGGAAGACAACAGTGCATCAGTTAATATTCTGTCCATCCTTTGCTGACTATTTCCACAACCACATTTTAAAAAATGTGTGTAAGTTATTAAGAGCATTTTCTTACTTGCAAGGTATGTCCCATCAACACAGGGACAACACTGCTACTATCTCATTTTCTGAGGCCAAAAAAATTGGAATCGAGGATTGATTCCCTCCTTTTCTCCAGGAAAGTTACTGAACAATACAAGACAAGATTAGCTGCTCTTGTTGTCTTCTACATGCATTTCTAAATAAAAAACATATTTAAAAAAGGAAAAGAAACCCATCCCATCACTACCTTTATGCATATCCATACACCCTGAACCTTTTCTCTGAGGGTTTCTACCTGAGTTGCTGTCTCGTCCTCCTCTTGCAGAAGATCCTTGTATGAGCGCTTTTTCTCTCGCTGTATCCTGCCAGGTGCCAGCCCGTCGTCAGCACTTCGGTGACTCTCTAGGGACTCTGATTTATGGGAAATGGGAGAAAAGAAAGAAATGAAATACCACATTAAGGAAAGACAGACAAGGGGACCAGTCATAAAATAAGCTAACAGAGGATACTGGCACAGAGTGATGCACGAAACCCAACAAGCACAGAGGCCTGAAAGGTAACAAACAGTCTGTACTGTCTGACCAGAGGGATGGGGCTTGGTGCTCTAACACAATCATTCCAGATTCAATCTCTAACGCCTGTATGCTCCTTCCTAAAGACAAGTGGATCTAGAAATGTTACCATGACTAAATGTATCATTATCCCCTGTCCCATTGACTTGTCAGGGAGAAGAAAGGCTGCAGTGGCAGAGTTCCCAATCAGGGTGTCTGCAGTAGGAAACACCACCCATTTCTCCCAAGTTCTAATCCCAGTACTTTACACCTGAAAGTCAAGGGCTTGGGATCCTCCGGTAACTTGGCCAGGTTAAATTTAAGGGCTCCACAGCACCCTAACATCTTTCCCACTCTGACTGCATGGCCTGGCAAGGGCTGTAAAGGGCACCCTTTAAAAAAATTATTTGTTGATTCTTTTTGCAAACCCCTCTGAGATTATGAAGCAGTCATACCTTCTTTCTTCTTGGCGCCATCATAAGCCATGGTGGTCCTGCAGGAGCCTGTGAATGAGCTGCCACGTCTGGGCTCCTTCCCCCGTTCCCATCTATAGGAAAAGGTCTGAGAAACAGAGAATGAAAATAACCCTCCCACAAAGAAGAAGCACTTTGTAAATGGGGAAACTTTCTCTGAACCAAATAAGGATTCTTTGGGAGACAGTGGGAAAGGAAATGAGTGGTCACTCTTCAGGCTTGATACATTTGGGTGTTCTAATCAAAATGGATATTGTGTTATTCTAAATATAGAAAATCCCACCCTTTCTTATAAAATATGTGAATCACTGAACTAATTTATTTACAAAAATAAAAAGAGGGTGAGAAGACAACCGAGTTTGGTTTTCATGACACACAAAACTACACCCTGTGTCAAAGCCATTTTTTGTCAGGAGCCACTGTAGCGAAGAATGGGATGTTTAAAGAGATTTCAAACCCTTGAGTCTCAGATGAAGTGAAGGATAAGAAGTGACAAGGCACAAGGAATTAAATTACAAAATAATTATTATTGGGTTTTTTTTTCTGGTTGGTGTTTTTTTGTTTTGTTTTGTTTTTTTCTAGAGGATCACACATTTTGTATTAGAGGTGTGTATCCTCCTGATGTGCTTCCCAATGCTACCACTGCAGCCATTCTGAATGCCAGCCTGGGAGAGGGGATGAGCACTCCTTTTACCTAGGCCTGCAGCAACCCAGCCTCTACCTCCCAGGTTTCAGGCCTCCTCTAAGTGAGCCACTGTGCCAGCTAGGGGCATGCAGCAGGACAGTGCTACTGTGGAACGGACACACTCTGGTTCTCTCAGAGCAAACAGCTTTTGTTCCTCAGCCAGTGACCAGCTCAGCAAGATCAACGTTCTGCTCCTACGGGATTAATCCAATGGCTGCCAGCTGCCTTTGTGTGTTTGTGTGTCCATGCACATGTGTCAACACCCAGGCACAAACACCAGGCAGCCTGCTCACCCCAGCTGCCATGGTAATCTCGTCACACTGAAGCTACATGGGAATACTCTGGGAGCAGGGAACTGGTGCTCCTACATTCCCCACGCAACTCGATTTTATAAACAACTGGATGAGGCTGACAATGTACAACTCATTCATCCTACAGTGGTTACTTAACTGATGCAACAAAGTCTCAACTAAATCAGGCTTGTGGGTACACATGAGATGCTTCTGTTTAAATTCATAGGAATACATGCTATTTCTTCAGGTTTTGGGAAAACACCCACTGCTGAATGTCAAGACAGTGTTCTTACCATTATATATTGATGGTAGCAAACACAAGGATTCCACCTAAAAACAAGAGCACTGCCTATGTACATGCAGAGAACACTGCACTCAGCAATAAAAAAGAGCATCTTGCCACTTGTGGGCTAGTGATGTTAAACCAGACGTTTTCAACATTTTGTGCTGTTTGTTTGCCAGACAGACTTCACTGAGAGGACACACAACACCAGAGTATTATGCTCAAGAGAGAAAGGGTCTAATACAGACACTGCTCTGCAAAACAAAGCTGAAGACATTCATTCATGAATGGATGTCATGGAGAGCCTAAGATTTCTTTGTGCCTATATGCATACCTTTTAGTCTCTTTTTAAATCTTATCTGCTTGGCAAGGACAAAGCTCGGTAGATACTGCCCAAAGGTGCTCACAGCCCAGATCCGGCAAATACAAAACAGACCCTTAACCACTCTCATCTTGTAAACATCAGTTAGGTTCCCCTGCTTCAAATTCCCGGCTTTCAGCACCGATGGCACAGGCTCAGCGGGGAAGCTCTCCCTGCACGTCTCCCGCTCCTCAGCGCACATGCCCGCGGGTTCAAGGCCCAGCCTGGCTCTTCGGTAGCCCCGGGGCTCCTC